ACAACCTCCTCCCCTCCTGTCCTAGAACATCCACAAACTCAACTCTTCCTCCGGTGTTGACTCAAGGAGGGTGCCACAAGTAATTAAAAAAAATATTTTCTTTTATTTTTATAGATGGAATTGCGTCGTGTTTATGAGAAAAAACAACAACAATGAAAGCTCACAACCTCAACCTCTCAGTAGCATTCTTTTCAATGCAGACATAGGGGTTTTCACCATACATTATAGATTTTTTTTTACAACCTCGCCACAACAGTATGCATGTACCAAAGAAGGACAGTTGGGGAACGACCTGAGCGCCAGTACCAGTTCAACAGTAAATGCAGTGTGATAATATGTGTTCTCATAACATTATCATTGTGTTATCACTAGTCTAATGCAGTAACACCTGTTCCCATATCGTTACGTTTCCAGGACATGGTGGGAACGTTACAGGTACTGGTGTGATAAACTTATGAGACTGAAGGGATCTGAGCTCAAACTTCCCACATTCAAACAAGAACAGAAGAGACAGGGCTGCCTAAAGACAAGATGGTGTCTCCATTTTGCTGCCTAAAGGCAAGATGGTGTCTCCTTCCACATTTAGAAGCTGATTGACTTTCCAGTTGAATATCAGCAATGGAATAGCATCCTCTACCATGTTTGAGGGCAGCTTAAGGGATTGGGACAGGTTATTATGTGGCATGTGTATCTTTCTTCGTCTACAGAGGGAAATGGCCAGAGGGCTCAGGAGGGAATGCCAAGGAACTGTCATTGTTATCTCCCAGCATCTTCTGCCTGAGGCAATGCCTCTGTCTAATGATAGGGCTGGTCCTGCAAAGAGTGAATAATAAATTTGGGCTGGAGACTTGACAGTAGTGATCTTAAAGAAGGGAGAATAGTGTGGAAGAAACAGAATTACCAGTAGTGTGCACAGAACACTTCTCCTTCTAGTGTAATCATGCTGCTGCTGTTGCTGCTGTTTGACTTTGGCTTATGGCAACCCTATGAATAAGAGATCTCCAAGAGCTACAACCATCAACTGTCCTGCTCAGGTCTTGCAAACTCAGGGCTGTGGCTTCTTTGATTGGATCGGCCCATCTGTAATGTGGACATTCTCTTTTCCTACTGCCTTGCATTTTACCAAGTATTATAGTCTTTTCTGATGATTCATATAATCTTATGATATGTCCAAAATAAGACTGCCTCAGTTTAATCATCTGGTTTCAGGCCTGATTTGCTGTAGAACCCACTCAAGGGGGTTGCAGACTTCCAGAAATAGTGCAAATTGAGTCCACTTTTAGGGTTAGGGTTAGTGCTAGGGAATCATGGGAATTGTTTTTTTCCCCTGAGACATTGAGCCTTCTCTGTCAGAGAGCTCTGGTGCCACAATAAAATACAGTTCCCATGCTTCCCTAACCCTAACCCTAACCCTAACCCTAAAAGTGGAGTCAATTTGCACTATTTCTGGCAGTCTGCAACCTCCCTTACTTGTCTTTTTATTGGTCCATGGTATCTGTAGAACCTTTCATTAGCACTACATTTCAAATGAGTTGAATTTCTTCCTATCAGCTTTCTTCACTCTCCAGTTTGTACAGTCATACATAGAAATCAGAAATACAATGGCATGGATGATTCTGACTTTGGTTTCTATTGATATATCTTTACAGTTGTGGATCACTTAATTCCTTCATAGTTTCCTTTCCAAGTCTTAGGCTGCTGCGACATTGCAGTAATAATGCAGTTTGACACCTCTTTAATTGCCATGACTCAATGTTATGGAATTCTGGGATTTGTAGTTTTATGAGACATTTCGCATTCCCTGTTAGAGAGCTCTGGTGCCCCATCAGACTACAAATCTCAGAATTCCATAGCATTTAGCCATGGAAGTTAAAGTGGGGTCAAACTACTTTATTTCAGCAGTGTGGCAGCAGCCCTGCTCTTCTGATTTTTTTTTTTACTACAATTACCATTTTGATTAATGGCTGGGGCATGGTACAGATAATGTTAAATTATTTCTATGTCTCCACTACCCATTTAAAAGAAATGTACACATAGGCAATGATATTACTAGAATACCACATTAACATTTAGAGAGGTGTTTAAAAGTATTCTTGTTGCCTTCAGCTTTGTAGTCAGAGACAAAGCCGTTTAAAGTTAAAAAAAAAAAAGCAAAGGAAGAGTGACAGTGAGGGCAGAGGATGGGTATGGACTCTAATTGTTTGTATCTATGTCCTTCCATTAGGCAACTGTTTCTATCAGGATTTAACACACGCAGTTACATCTTGTAGGGAACATTGTTAGTTAGACCACATGAATAATATTCAAATTTTACTGCAGATTATCTGAAGTGTCTCTCTTTCTCATTTTCCAGACTGCAAAATGTTTTGCAAAACCACAGTTACTTGAATGCAGAATTTGCATTAATGAGAATCTTGGTTTCCGTTCCAAAACTGTCACTTTTCAAGACATGTTCAAATATTTATCCGCAACCTTAAGTATAAAGGCCGGTTGTCCGACAGCTGAGTACAAAGGCTGGTGGCCATGATCCAAAGGCCACCAGCTTGAAATCATGATATGGACACCCATTTATCTGCACAATGTCCCATATTAAGCACCTTATAGTGGTCTGCAATTTGGTGCAAGAAGATCTTCATATGTGGGACCCTATATAGCTTATGTCCAGAGCATTTGAAGGACTAACAGGGGATGCAGACCAGGGCGTCGGGGACGCCCTGGTCTGGAGCGCCGTGGGACCGCAGCCTCCGCACCGCGGCGCTCCTGCGGCGGTCCTAAAAGGAGCTCCAAATTGGCGCTCCTTTTAGAAGACAGGGATAGTGCGCCCTAAATGCGTAGGGCGCACTTTCCCTGTCTTTTCCGCCGCAGCGTGTGAGGACGCTGTGGCGGGAGGTTGCCCTCGGCTCGCCAGCCATGCGGAGGGCCGGCAGCTCCAAGGGCAACCTCGGGAAGAGGAAGGGGCGCTGCACGTGTGGCTGCCCCTCCTCTTCCTTGCCTCCAAGATGGCTCAATAAGCCGTCTGCCGAGGCCCTGTATTTTCCTATATAATCCTGCCTAAAATTCAAGGTCTTTGTGGGAGACCTTCTTCTCCCCCCACTACCTTCACAGGTACATCTGATGGGAACATAGAAGAGAGCCTTCTTGGTGGCTGCTCCCAGGCTCTGGAACTCCCTTGCAAAGGAGGCTACACTGACTCTTTATTTACTGTACTGCTATTGTCAGGTGAAGTCTTTTTATTCAGGCAAGCTTTCAGGAATGGACTCTTTTTTTTTTTAATGGAAATGGCATTTAATAGTGTATTGTGCTATTTTTATTTCTTGCCTTTTCAAGGGTTAAGTTTAAATGTCTCTTAATCCTAGCTCAGACATATACTCGATGGCCCACTGGGTGAATTTGAGCAGGTCACATTTTTTCAGCCTCAGAGGATGGCAATGGCAAACCTCCTCCAAAGAAACTTGCCACGAAAACCCCATGATACTGTCGCCATAAGTTACAAACAACCCAACAACAACAACAAAATTCTACACGCAATGTATTTTCATGTTAACAATAATGTTGTGTATGGATCCCCCCTTTCCACCCTCTGTTTTATTGTAAATTGCTTTTGAATCCCAATTCTGGGGATTAAATAATTGGCTAAAATAAGTGTAAGGGCTGAGTGGGCCTCCCTGCAAGTAAGAAGCTAACTGCTCAGGTGCTTCACACACACACACACACTGGATCTACTGGAAAAGATGAGCTACATCTACTTGATCTTGGGGGATCTGGCGGGTGTGTGTGTTGGGGGGGGCAAAGAGCTGTAATCTTTACATGAGGCAATAAGCTGGATGCCTTCTCTGATCTCCTCAAGAGTAACTAGACCA